TTCACCAACGTTTAGGTCATCCTAGTCTCAATAAACTGAGAAGAATGGTACCTCAAGTTTCCAATTTACAGTCCTTAGCCCGTGAGTCATGTCAAATTGGTAAACATGTTAGAACCACTTTCCCAAAAAGTCATAGTCATGCAGAATCTCCCTTCTATCTTGTTCACTCAGATGTTTGGGGTCCAAGTCGTGTCAGTTCTGTTTTAGGATTTCGGTACTTTGTTATCTTTGTTGATGATTTTTCAAGATGTACGTGGCTTTATTTAATGAAAGAACGTTCAGAGTTATTTGGCATTTTCAAAAGTTTCTGCAATGAAATAAAAAATAAGTTTGATCATACCATTCGTGTTCTACGTAGTGATAATGCCAAGGAATATTTCTTAACAAATTTCAATGAATATATGGCTACTCAAGGGATAATTCATCAATCCACATGTCCCCACACGCCTCAACAAAATGGGATTGCCGAAAGAAAACATCGTCATATAATTGAAACAGCACGCACACTACTGGTTCATGCCAATGCCCCACTAAAATTCTGGGGAGATGTTGTTCTCACAGCTATTCATTTAATCAATCGAATGTCATCTTCTACATTGGATAACAAAGTACCACACTATATCTTGTTCCCAAAGGACCCCATTTTCCTTGTTCCTCCCAAAGTCTTTGGTTGTACTTGTTTCGTACAGGATCTTTCCCCTGGTCTTGACAAATTATCTCCACGAGCAATCAAGTGCATATTCCTTGGCTACTCTAGAGTCCAAAAAGGGTACCGTTGTTATTCACCTTCTACTCATCGTTTCTATACTTCTGCAGATGTCAGTTTCTTTGAGGATCAACCGTATTTCACTTCACAAGTGGAAGTTGAATCTGTCTCTCAGGTCTTACCCATTCCTCATCTTACTCCATTGTCACCTCTAAGTCTTCCATTGTCCTCTGCCAAACCACTCATTACTTATCAGCGTCGACCGCGGTCTGCACCTAATGAGGATGTCCCTAATAGTGACCCTGCTGATTCACCTCCAGCTCCAGCTCCTTTACCTACTCCGGACCAACATGAGGCACCTGTTCAACCTGATCTTCCAATTGCAACCGGAAAAGGTATACGTTCCACTCGGAACCCGCATCCTATTTATAATTGTCTAAGTTATCATCGTCTATCTCCTTCCCATTATGCTTTTGTGTCTTCCATCTCTTCTGTTTCCATTCCTAAAACTGTCCAGGAAGCTCTTGCCCACCCAGGATGGCGCCGAGCTATGCTTAATGAGATGGCTGCGCTTGAAATCAATCGTACTTGGTCTCTTGTTCCCCTGCCCCATGGTAAATCTATTGTTGGTTGCTGATGGGTGTTTACAATCAAAGTTGGTCCTGATGGACAAGTTGACCGGCTGAAAGCACGTTTGGTTGCTAAAGGGTTTACTCAAGTGTTTGGCTTGGATTATGGTGACACTTTTTCTCTGGTTGCAAAGATGGCTTCTGTACGTTTGTTCTTATCTATGGCAGCTATGCGCAGCTGGCCCTTACATCAGTTGGACATAAAAAATGCATTTCTTCACGGTAATTTAAAAGAAGAAGTTTACATGGAGCAACCACCTGGGTTTGTTGCTCAGGGGGAGTGTAGATATGTGTGTCGGTTGCATAAGGCCTTGTATGGTCTTAAACAGTCCCCACGAGCGTGGTTTGGCAGATTCAGTACGGCTCTCAAACAGTTTGGGATGATTCAATGCAAAGCAGACCACATCGTGTTTTATAAAAGATCTTTATCTAATCAATCTACTTACCTTGTTGTTTATGTTGATGATATTGTAATAACAGGGGATCATGATGGCATACAGAATCTTAAACTATACTTGTCCCAGCAATTTCAAACAAAAGATTTGGGACGACTTCGTTACTTTCTTGGAATTGAGGTAGCTCAATCCAAAACTGGCATTGCCATATCTCAAAGAAAATATGCTCTTGATATTTTGAAGGAAACCGGGATGACAGATTGTAAGCCGATCGATACTCCAATTGATCCAAATGTTCGACTTTTGCCAGATCAGGGAGAGCCTATCTCTAATCCTGGAAGATATCGACGACTTGTGGGGAAGTTAAATTATCTCACTATGACCAGACCAGACATCTCCTTTGCCGTGAGCGTGGTTAGTCAGTTCCTCAATACGCCATGTGATAGTCATTGGGATGCAGTTGTTCGAATCCTAAGATACATCAAAGGTTCACCTGGAAGAGGACTGGTTTATGCGAACCGGGGTTGTGACAATATTACTGCATATTCAGATGCGGATTGGGCCGGCTGTCCAAATGACAGGAGATCAACTTCAGGGTACTGTGTTCTCATTGGTGGAAACCTAATCTTGGAAGAGCAAGAAACAGAGTGTTGTCGCTAGATCAAGTGCCGAAGCAGAGTATCGAGCCATGGCTCTCACTACTTGCGAACTTATATGGCTGAAACAGTTATTGTCCGAGTTAAAGTTTTGCAAACTGAAGCCTATGAAACTGATCTGTGATAATCAGGCAGCTTTATACATCGCTTCTAACCCTGTTTTTCATGAACGAACAAAACATATAGAAATCGATTGCCATTTTATTCGTGAAAAAGTCATTTCTGGAGAAATCTTCACATCCTTTGTCAAATCAAATGATCAGTTAGCTGATTTTCTCACTAAGTCACTTCGAGGTCCGAGGATAAGATATATTTGTGACAAGCTTGATGCATATGATATCTACGCACCAGCTTGAGGGGGAGTGTTGAGATTTGATATGATTTCCTTCCTGATTTTAGTATTTATTGTACAGATTGTATCAAATCAGGAATTAATTACTGATTGATGTGCATATGATTCTTTCCTTGTAATTATTTGCCTTATAAATAAAGACTTGCTGAGAGTAGTTTCTCTTAAGCAATTTCATTCAAATCAGTAAATTCAAGTCACTGAATTTCCAGCATAGTGAACCCCTTGCTACAACCGACAAGCTCTTTATGGGCGATGGTCAAGGTTTGGATATAAAGTCTATTGGTTTTTCTTCCTTTCCTTCACCCTATCTTACTTCTCAGTATCTTACACTAAATAATATTCTTCATGTTCCCTCCATAACCAAAAATCTCTTGAGTGTTAGTCAATTTGCTAAACACAATAATGTCTATTTTTGAATTTTATCCTCATGATTGCTATGTCAAATCTCATGTTTCTAAACAAGCCCTTTTACATGGAGTTCTTGGTGCAGATGGTCTGTACAAGTTCCAGTCCATACCTCCTCTTGGTTCATATCAATCTCATGCTGCTAGTCTGCCTGTTTCTGTAGGGTCTACAACAAATAAAATATGCAACCCCTTTCCTTTGTTTCCACTTGTAATAAGTCCCAGTCATGTATTGCACCAGTTTCTTGTAATTTGTGGCATTTAAGACTAGGCCATCCACATTTTGAAGCACTTAAATTTGTACTCCAATATTGTAATGTGTCCTCAATCAATAAAAGTAATATCTCTTTCTACTCCTCTTGTTGTCTTGGAAAGGCACACAGATTACCTGCACAGTCATCTAACATTGTCTATCATTCACCATTTGAAATAATCTTTACTGACTTGTGGGGGCCAACACCCATATTGTCCTTTGATGGATATTCCTATTACATATCTAACATTGTCTATCATTCACCATTTGAACTAATCTTTACTGACTTGTGGGGGCCAGCACCCATATTGTCCTTTGATGGATATTCCTATTACATATCATTTATAGATGCCTTTACAAGATACACTTGGATCTATTTTCTGAAAAAGAAGTTTGATGCTCTCACAGCTTTTCAAAATTTTTATCAGTATGTAATGACTCAATTTTCCACTCTATCAAGTCTATCCAATCTGACTGGGGAGGGGAACTTAGATCTTTTACCAATTTTCTCACTGAAAAAGGCATCACTCATAGATTAATCTGTCCACACACCACCACCAAAATGGTGTTGTGGAAAGAAAACACAGGACTATTGTGGAGAAAGGCCTATCCATTTTGGCTCATTCTTCCTTGCCTTTCAAATTTTGGGACACTGCTTTGCAACCTCAGTTCACCTTATAAATAGAACTCCATCCAAATCCATTGCTAACTCCAGTCCTTATTTCAAACTTTATGGGTCTATTCCAGACTATTCCATTCTTAAAGTCTTTGGTTGTTCTTGCTACCCATTTATTAGACCTTACAACAAACATAAAATGGATTTTCACTCTGAAGAGTGTATCTTTATAGGTTACTCCCCTCAACACAAAGGCTATAAATGCCTCTCCTTTTCTGGAAAAGTGTATATCTCAAAAGATGTCATATTTCATGAAACTAAATTTCCTTACTTTGTTCTTTTTCCATCATCATCCTCTCCTTCTACTAACTTTCAGCCTCCACTTTCTACTCCTTTAACTGTTCTTCATCCTCAACCAACTCATCCTCCGTTTGAATCCTCTCTTTCCCATTCCAATGAATCTCAATCAACTGCTTCTGACATACCCAGTTCATTCCACTCATCTTCTCCAAGTTCTCATGACTTCCAAGATCAGCCACTCACTTCTCCTAATCTGTCTCCAAGTCAGTCTCCTTCTATAACCTCATCATCCTCTATTTCACCTTCTCCTCCTCCAACTAACACTCATCCTATGCAAACCTGGGCAAAGTCAAGAATTATCAAACCTAGACTAAATCCTACCTTAGTGTTAGCTCATACTGAGCCTAAGTCAGTTAAGCAAGCTCTCTCATCTCCTCAGTGGTTGTCAGCTATGCAGACTGAATATGATGCTTTAATGGCAAATAAAACATGGTCTTAGTTCCCCTACCCCCTGATAAGCACGTTGTTGGCTGTAAGTGGGTTTTCGGAGTTAAAGAAAATTATTATGATTCTTTAAACAAATTCAAAACAAGATTAGTTGCTAAAGGGTTTCATCAAAGGTTTGGATTTGACTTTGGAGAGACTTTTTCACCTGTTGTTAAGCCTGTCACCATCAGAATTCTACTTACCTTAACAGTCTCCCATAACTAGTCCATTCAACCACTTGATGTAAATAATGCCCTTCTAAATGGAAATCTTGAGGAAGATGTTTATATGGTTCAACCCCCAGGTTTTGAAGCCAAGGATACAATTGTGGACTACTCCCTTTTGCCTCGAGTACTCTCGACTCAGGGAGTTGGGGACTCCTGATGGAGTATATGGACTCCGACCCCCGGTCTGCTTACCATTGGGCCTGGACAGCGGTTCACCTACACCAGCAAACAACATTTATATTATTGTATAGTTTACATATTCATTGTATGTACTAGATTAGCCTTTTATGTTATCAGTCCTTTTATGTAACCGGATCTGTCAGGTCCATATTAGAGGCCCAGACCTGGATTTCTCTATATATACTCCTTTTTGGAGCTTGTAAACATAACTCATAATTCATTCACAATACACATACATCTCTTTCTCCTACATTCTTGTTCAATCTCTCATGTTTATACAGTATGGGTATCGATTATCACCGGGTACTTCTCATCCTGCTCTCCAAGGAGGCGATATCGCCGGAAGCCAAAGTCATACAGGTCATCCGGGAGGGTGGCATCCTTGATCGTCACTCGATCCTCGGACCCCACCGGCGGAGCTGAAATCTTCTTCCCGAAAGCATGTGCACCGCGAAACATCCCTCGGGAGCATGGGAAAGCACGCCATTAGGACCCGGCTCTATCACCATTGCCGAGGGCCCAGCATAGAACTGGGCGAGATGATACTCTGCTTCGTCAGCCTTCGTCTTCAGGCCGAGGGCAGCAGTGTTTAAGAATGAGTGCCCCTCGTGAATACCGATGGGCTTCCCGGCATCTGCGGTCGCTTGCTTGTTCTTGGGGGCAGCCTTCACCTTCTTCTTCTTCGAAGTCGCGACCCTAAGGGGATCCGAAGTGAGGGCTCCAGACGTCCCTGCTACACTAGCAACAGCCGAAGGGATAGCAACGGTGACCTGATGTCGCTCCCTTTCTTCCTCCTCTTCGGCGGTTTGTACGGCGAGGGCCATCTCCTCGTCCTCGACCACCTGCTCAAACTCCTCAGCTTCGGCTTCGGTTCTGAGGGTACTCTGCACCTCCTTCGCCACGGCAGAGTCGTTGTTGGACAAGGCCTGGGCACTTGATGGCCCTTCGTCTGACCACGTTTCGGATTGGACCGAGGGCTCTCCCGATATGTTTTGAGAATCACTTGCAGACGACAACCTTCAGTAATATATCGGAAGGGTTTGGACAAGAGAAGCCCTAAGGCCACTAACACTAGATCTACAAAGGGCGAAGCAAAAAATGCAAGTAACTGCAAGAACAGAGGAAGAACTGACCTCGGAGATAAGGGTTTGAATCTAAAATCTCTCTCTCTAGAAAAATTGGCAGAGCTTCGCTTCAACTTAAAAATGCACAGGGCGAATGGGATCAGACGTGGGGTATTTATAGGCTCCACAACTATGGTTAGGGCCGGAACCTGGGTCCCCATTTAAAAGCCCATCATTGCAACCGTCGCCTCAGCCAGCCGGTGACAGCTGCCCCGATGGGCAACCAACACACGCCACGTGGACCCCCTGCCAACATTCATATTCGAACGACTACTTCCAAGCAACTGAATAACCACCACCATGGCCTCTCGAACAAACTGAGATCACGAACGGCCCCTCGCCAAAAGGACCGTCGCCTTTACGATGAACGGCCTCCCAGTGCCGTCGTCCTCAGATGACGAACATCTTGAGCTAGCGATAGGGCTCTCCATCCTTTCCAGGGTGGGGACCGTCGCCTTCAAACGAGCGTCTACAACCGTCTTCCTCAGATCACGAACGGCTCCTCAGCCTTGACGTGATCCTTTATCTCAAGATAGGCTTCCTCAGCGCCGGACGTCTTGAGCTAGCGATAGGGCTCTCCATCCCTTCCAGGATGGGGACCGTCGCCTTTACGACGAACGGCCTCTCAGTGTCGTTGTCCTTAGTTCACCCCTTTTGATTCATTTTGGGGGCATCCGGTGTACTTTTTTCCCTCATTAGGATTTTTTCCCACTGGGTTTTTTCCTAATGAGGTTTTTAACGAGGCATCTCCCCATTGTGGGTCAAAAGGTGTCGACCCTAGGCCCCCTATTGAAGATATGCATTACTCAGCGCCGTCGTCCTCAGATGACGAACATCTTGAGCTAGCGATAGGGCTCTCCATCCTTTCCAGGGTGGGGATCGTCGCCTTCAGACGAGCGTCTACAACCGTCTTCCTCAGATCACGAACGGCTCCTCAGCCTTGACGTGATCCTTTATCTCAAGATAGGCTTCCTCAGCGCTGGACGTCTTGAGCTAGTGATAGGGCTCTCCATCCCTTCCAGGATGGGGACCGTCGCCTTTACGACGAACGGCCTCTCAGTGTCGTTGTCCTTAGTTCACCCCTTTTGATTCATTTTGGGGGCATCCGGTGTACTTTTTTTCCCTCATTAGGATTTTTTCCCATTGGGTTTTTTCCTAATGAGGTTTTTAACGAGGCATCTCCCCATTGTGGGTCAAAAGGTGTCGACCCTAGGCCCCCTATTGAAGATATGCATTACTCTACTCCTTTTCACCTCATTACACGCGCCTCAAGGAGTGAGGGACTGGGGAACCCTCTCAAGAAATCACGAAAGTTAAAAAAAATTCAAAGCATCAACAAATGCCTTCAGTCCCAAAATGTGGGTGACTGGGGGACTCCCCTCGGCAAAACACGCAAAACACATGAAGAGCTCCATCTTCGTACAGCCTTTAAACACATAAAAGAGCCTTGGGGTACGTACGGCCCCAGGGGATGTACGTCCACCAACAGTCCTTCATCACATGGATACCCCAGAAGACGTACGTCCTCCAGCACATGACGGCCCCAGTATACGTACGTCCTTCCAGGCACATTGATGCCCCAGGGGACTTACGTCCTTCATCACAAGAAGACCTCAGGGGACGTACGTCCTTCATTACAAGAAGACCCCTGGGGATGTACGTCCTTCATCACATGAATTCTCCATGGGACGTACGTCCTTCATCACATGAAGCCCCCAAGGGACGTACGTCCTTCATCACGTAAAGTCCCCAAGGGACGTAAGTCCTTCAGCACATATGGGTTCCCAGCTACATACGGCCTTCGGCACATGAAATCCCCCGGGGTACGTACGTCCCTCAAGACATGACGGTTCCCGGGGACGTACGGCTTTCGACACATGAAGGCTTCCGGGGTGTGTACGGCCTTCGGCACTACCCCGACAAGATCTCCCCTCTGCACGTTCTGAAATCGCCGCATTAAATGCGGTGTCACGTCCAACCACCGCATTAAATGTGGTGCCACATGTTGTGCCAGCGCCACCCTATTTGAGTCGACCCTCCACCGTTGATTGCTTGACACGTGTACTTGCATTAATTACACCGCATTTATGGGAGCTATAAATAATTAGCCCCTTCTTCATTGTAAAGATCAAACTCTTGAGCTCATTTAATATACATCTACTCTCTTACTTGTTCCGACTTCTCTCTACGTACCCCTCAGTGGTACCCCCGGATATACTATCCGTCAGGGGGTCACATAATACATCATGGGGGTGTCGAGGTTGATCCATCCAAAATAAGAGCAATCACAGAGTGGCCCCTCCCTAGATCTGTATCTGCCTTGCGCGGGTTTTTAGGGTTGGTCGGCTATTACATAAAATTTATTTAACAATATGGCGAAATTTGTTGGGCCTCTCACGCAAATGTTAAGGAAAAGCTCCTTCATATGGAAGGACGAAGCAACCAAGGCATTCGAGACACTTAAGCAACGTTTATCCTCTGCTCTGGTACTCCAATTGCCAAATTTTGAAAAAGGTTTCATTGTAGAATGTGATGCTTCAGGTTCAGGTTTTGGAACAGACTTACATTAGGAAGGACATCCTATCGCCTACTTTAGTCGAAAATTGCTGATCGACATCTTAAGCTCGCAGCCTATGAAAGAGAGTTAATTGGCTTAGCCAAGGCGGTGACTCATTAGAGACCCTATTTGTGGGGATCTGAATTTTCAATTCTAACATATCACTCTAGTTTGAAGTATTTATTGGATCAATGATTGACCACTTCCCCACAACAACATTGGTTGACTAAAATGATGGGCTTCAATTTTCGGGTGGAATACAAGTCAGGCCGTCTAAACACTGTCGCAGATGCTCTGCTCTATCTTGACAACATGAGGACGACATCCAGCTGCCAGCACTCAGTGTTCCATACAACACCTTACTTAGTGAAATACGTGCAGAACAAGCAACCTCTCCTACCATTGCAGATATCATTGATGAAATCCGAAGTGGCCAACGTGGATCAGATTGGGAGATTTGAGATGGCCTAGTTTATTTCAGGTTTAAAATCTACTTGCTAGATATTGGAACGGCTTCTGCGCGAGTTTTATTGGAGCGGCATGAAAACGGCAGTGACAACCTTTATTCTTGACTGTCAAACGTGTCAAAAACACAAGTAGTTGACATTAGAGCCAGCTGGTTTGCTTCAACCTCTTATGATTCCACACCACCTATGGGCTGATATTTCAATGGATTTTGTGGAGGGTTTACCAAAGGTTCGCAGCAAGTCTGTTATCCTAGTGGTTGTAGACAGACTCTCTAAAGCAGCACATTTCATCCCATTGTCTCATCCTTATATTGATGTCTCAGTCGCAGGAGACTTCTTTGCTGAAATGTTTTGCCTTCATGGACTACCTAAATCCATTGTTTCTGACCGGGATAAAATATTTGTAAGCACATTTTGGCGCGAACTTTGCAGATTATCAGGAACCAAGTTGGCCTATTCTTCAGCATATGACCCGCAGACAGATGGCCAAATGGAGGTGGTCAACCGTACCGTAGGGTTGTTCTTACGTTGTGTCACTAGCGATTATCCCAAAGGAATGAGTCCGTTGGCTTCCATGGGTCGAGTTTGCTACAACACATCTTACCACTCTTCCTTAGGGGACACCCCTTTTCGTTTAGTGTATGGTCGGGATTCGCCTCGTATTCTCTCATATATGCCCGGCACAACTACAGTCGAGGGGGTTGATCGCGAGCTCATTGCTCGTGACCAACTTCTGAAAAATGCCAAGGACCGACAAGCACAAGCCCAACAACGCATGAGAGATCAGTTTGATTAACATCACCGAGACTTATCCTTTGACCCCGGTGCATGGGTCTGGCTCTGTCTCCAGTCATATCGCCAGCTCTCCCTCCGTGGGCCAAAACAATC